AAAAAAAAAAAAAAACAAAGGAGGAAAAAGTGAAATCCGAAAACTAAGTAAGAAACTTGTCTTGAAGAAATGTTGATTACCACCGTAAGTAATAAAAGCATCATCGAATGATAGGCCTATTTCAGCTTTTAAATGGGAATTAGAGTTCATACATATAATTTTGTAGCATGAAATTAAGTCAAAAACCAGTTACCTTTCCGAAAGTACTTCTGCTTCTGCTTCTGCAGTCGATTTGTAACTTTTGCCCCTTTGGTGGTACGTCAAAGGCCCACGTAAATCTTTCCTTCCACTCTGGTGAGGTGTTATGGCTCACAACCTGACAGTATGTGCAAACAAAGACAGTCGAAATAGTAAGCAGATGAGCGTATTTTAAACCGGCTACAGTCTCCCAACTAAACTAAACTAAATTAATCTAACCTTAGGCCTTAGCTCCTAAACTTTGGTTACATAAACAATCTGTTTCATCGTTCGAAATTACAAATAGATATTCCGTAGAGGTTTGTGTTGCCCTTAATGCTCGAATGCAATTTGTGTAAATACATAAAAAATTACCTATCATATATCAAATTACGTAGGCTATAAACCTATTACACACACGGTAACGAAAAAAAGAAAGAAGAGTACACATTTACCTTATAATAATACAAAACAATTGAAAACCAAGTGAATCATGCAATGAATACCTTAGTGCGCCTAGAGGGGCAATTGCCTATAGCCAACCGGCAAAAAGCACTCGTGCCACCATGCTTCAAATTATTAGCTCGCCCGATGAACACCGTTAAGCATCCCGGTAAACAACTCAACAAGCTTTCTAGCCTGTCGTGAAAACTCGGTGGGCCAGCCTTCAAAAGCATCTGCAGAGTAGGGATGGCCTCGGCTGCAATCATAGCCTGAGACCTGGTCACATCCAGCGGCATAGCCGACCATGACTGCTTGAGCAGGCACAAAGTGCTCATCACATAGTCCTGAGCCAGCTCACCCCCGAACTTGAGGGCATATATTAAATGGGGAATGCAAAGCGTGGCTGCCTCAGAAATAATAAGCTTGGGGAAATTGGAGAAGATGACATTTATAGTCTTCAACACCTCTTCACTTGCAGTAGTTGTTGACCGTAGGTCTCTCTCTAGAGCATCTGGGCACAATTTGATAATGAAGTTTGTCTTTTTATTAATCAGTAGTCAAATGTAGTAAGAAAATTCAAACTCAAACTACCTGTCAAGGAACGGACGAGGTCGTTGGAAACGTAGTCCTGCAGTGTGTGGTTGGAGAAGAGGAAGTTGATGAGCACAGCGGCCTGTGCCACGAGGTCCGGGTTGGGGCAGAGTAGCATCTCTTGCACGGACACAACCCCGCCAGCCTCGGCCACAGCCCGTCTATTGTTGCGGCTCTTCATCACAAAGTTGTGCAGCGCGCACACGACCACCATCTTCATCTCATCCGTTGGCTGCAGCCGCAGCACCTCGACCAGCGCCCGACACGCTGCCACCGAGTCGCTGGCCCTTGCCAACCCCTCATGCTGCGACAGGTCCCCTAACGCAAGTGCTGCCAGCAGCCGGGCCGTCTCGGACACCGTGTGCGGGTCCACCAGATAATGAGCAAGGGTCGCAATCGCATGCTTAACAGCCATATTTTCCCGCACATGTCTACTGTTGAGCAAGGCTTCTAGCAGCCTGGCCGCACCCTCCTCGCACTCGTGGGATCGCAGAAGGTCGAGCAGCGAGTCGATGGCGCCAGCCTCCGCCACAGCCTTGGCACTCAAGATTTTCGTCTTCTCTTGGATAATGAGGCTGTTGAGGGCGACCCTCACGGTCGTTTGAGAGGACGAGCGTAGCATCTTGACGAGCGCCTCAACGGGGATGCCAAGGTAGTACTCAGCGTCCAACTGGACTAGATTCGAGACCACGGAGGCTGCACACTCCCACAGAGGGCCATCCACATCCTTGACCACCACTTTGGACAGCTCCAAGACACCGCCTGCATTGAAAACTTCCTTGGGCCAGCTCAATGAGATCTTCTCCAGTGCCTTGATTGCCGTGTGCTGCAAATTAGGGATACCAATCCCTGCCAGCTGGATGAGGGGGACAACCGCAGCTTTTGTGGTGATGTCTTGCTTGAAGTGCTCCTGGGCAAGCAGGTGGGAGAGAAGCTCGGTGCCTAGGTGCTGAATGGCCTGGGACGGGGACTCCAGGAACGAGATGAGGGGCTCGATGACCTCGCTGGGGGAAAGCTTTAGGGCCGACAGACTCTGGGGCTTCTCCAGGATGTTCACAAGTGCCTGGAGAGCACTGTGCTGAGCCCACAGCCCGATGTCCGTCCTCAGCACCACCATAAAGAGCGGCTCCACAATCTTAGCGGCCGAGGGGCTCTTGGAGACTGCGCTGCTGTTGGTCAGGATGCGGAAAAGCTCCGCAATCATGGCGCAGGTCGAGTTGGGAGCATTAGGGAGTAAATCCAGACATTTATCTATGATACCCGCATTCATCATATCCAGCTTGCGTGGGGTCCGGTCTTTCCCCAGGTTGATGAGCGAGCTAATGCTTGCCTCGATGACACGATAATTTGATCCAGAGACGAGACTGACTAGTATACCGACGAAATCATGGTCCGAAGTGATCTCCACCTGACGTTCATCATCCAGCAACCGCTCGAAAGCGCAAACTCCAGACTCCACGGCACTTTCCCTATCAGATTTCATCAGAAAAATTAAGGGCTCCAACCATTCCGGAATCATGGGTATTATTTCCCTGACCCTCGGGTTGCCGAAGATCGCACAACATAGCTCAGCAGCATCCGTCTTCAGCTCCAGAGAAGAAGATGGGGATGATAGGATTTTGTGCAGACTGCGCAGAGGATTGCCTCCGGCCTCAACCAGGACAACAACTTTCGAGTTGTTACCGGCGGTCAGCTTGAGCAGTGTGTTGAGGGCGGCCGCCTGTTCGCACTCGGATGTGGACCCCAGCATGTCGGCCAACGGCTGGACGGCCTGCACGGACAAGTCGGAGTTTCTGATGTGGTCGGCGTCAAAAAGCTCGTTGAGGGCCCTGACAGCACTTAGCCGCGCGTTTCTCGACCCCAAGTGGAGGACGGCAATCAGCTGAACCATGCAGCTA